CATGGTTGGCCGCCTAAGTCTGGAGACAAGTCAAGTCGTCCTCGTCATCACGGTTCGTCTCGTGCACCACGTTCTGAGCCTCAAGCAGCAGCGGTGGAGCGCACAGAGACTTCCATTCCAGGCCTCACTGCCGAGCAGGTTGCCCAGCTACGGGCATTCCTAAACTCAGAACCGGCAGCGGCTCAAGTCGCATCACAGCCGACGGCAAATTTGTCAGGTATGTCTTCGGTCGATTTATCTACAGCATGGGTTATTGATTCCGGGTGTAACGAACACATTGCTAAAGATAAATGTTTATTTCATGGCGAGTTGGATACCGACTCGAGTTTACAGGTTCGCATTCCTAATGGAACGGGTATCTCAGTTCAGGGTATTGGGAACTCGAAATTAAGTAATGGGTTCATGCTTCGTCGTGTTCTGCATGTTCCCGAGTTCCAGTGCAATCTATTGTCTGTCAGTCGTCTTACCGCCGATCATGCTGTTGCTGTAATTTTCTTGAGTGATTTCTGCGTGCTACAGGACTTACGCTCCAGAGCGATGATTGGGATGGGTAGACGTGTCGATGGTCTCTATTACTTGCAAGTGTTTGATGGGCGTCATCCGGTGGCATTCACGGCAAAGCAGGCTATTAGAGACTCTCAGTTGTGGCACTCGAGGCTTGGTCATCCGTCGGTATCGAAATTTTCAGTTTTGCAGTCTTATATCTCAAGTACTTTGGTTGTCAATAAGGACCCGTGCATATCTTGTTTGCGGGCCAAACAAACTCGGCTACCGTTTGTTGCTAGTACTGTTAAGACTACGTCGGTTTTTGATCTTATTCATATTGATATTTGGGGAGGATATCAACAGGCCTCGTTTTCTGGTGCTCATTATTTTCTCACAATCGTGGATGATTTTAGTCGTGTTGTGTGGGTATATTTGTTAAAGCAGAAATCCGAAGTTGCTCGGTACCTTCTCATGTTTTTCAATCAAGTCCGAACGCAGTATGGGAAAAGTGTCAAGCGCGTCCAGGCCGATAATGGCAGAGAATTTAGTACTCCTGAGCTACGCGAGTTTTATGAACAGAACGGGATTATTCTTCAGACTTCTTGTGTTCACACTCCGCAGCAAAATGGGGTCGTTGAAAGAAAGCATCGACACCTTCTCGACACTGCACGAGCACTCCGATTTCATGCTGGTCTACCGATCCACTTTTGGGGAGAATGCATCCTCACGGCAGCGTATCTTATTAATCGCTTGCCACTGGTCACCATTCAGAATCGAACTCCCCACGAAGTCCTTCTTGGTCACCGTCCGAACTTTGATCACCTGCGAACCTTCGGCTGCCTCATCGATGCCAAGGATACGCGTCCTGGTCTTCCAAAATTCGCAGCTCGTGGGAAGCCCGGCATTTTTGTGGGATACCCTGCGCATCAGCGGGGCTATCGGATTTTTGATGTTGCTCGACGGGCCATTTACACTTCCCGTGATGTCTTTTTCTTGGAAGGAGTCTTCCCATTCCAAAAGTTAGGGACGACGGCAGCATTGCCCTCCCAGGCTTCGTCCATGTCTTGGCCACAAGATGAGGATGACGACGAGCATGCCGATCTCGGCATTTTTGACATGGTGCAGGGGGTGGTTTCTTCACGTGAGGAGGATGATCTTGCTGGCCTCGCCTCACTAGCTCCCAACGCGTCCATCTCGCCCTCCAGTCCACAGGCGAGCAGTCCCCCTGCCTCGTCCAGCTCGTCCCCGCATGCCGCCAGTCCATTGCATGCGGCCATCCCAGCGACCTCGGCCAGTCCGTCGCTCTCGGCCAGCCCATCGTCCTCGGCCAGTCCATCACCCTCGGCCGGCCCATCACCCTCGGGCAGCCCATCGCACTCGGCCCGTCCATCACTCTCGGCCAGCCCAGCGACCTCGGCCAGTCCGTCGCTCTCGGCCAGTCCATCGTCCTCGGCCAGTCCATCAGCCTCGGCCAGCCCATCGCCTTCGGCCAGTCCACCACTCTCGGCCAGCTCATCCACCTCGGCCACAACTCCGGCCGAGCCCATGCCACGCCACAGCACGCGTGTCTCTCGTCCTCCGGTTCGTCTCCAAGACTATGACACGGACCTTCCCAGTTTACGTCCGCATGCGCAGCATGCCTCTCTTTATCCTCTCGGCAATCACGTCACATATGAGAGACTCTCTCCTGCTCATCGTGCATTTGTAGCAAATGTCACTGCTACGTTTGAACCCACGTACTTCTGGCAGGCCATCCGTTATGAGCATTGGAGGAAAGCAATGCAAGAAGAAATCGATGCTCTAGAGGCCAACGGAACATGGGTGTTAGCAAATGCACCGCCTGGTAAACGTATTGTCGACTGCAAATGGGTCTACAAAGTCAAGTTCAAACCTGACGGCTCTGTCGACCGGTATAAAGCTCGTCTAGTGGCGAAAGGTTTCACCCAGATCGAAGGTATCGATTATCACGATACTTTCGCTCCCGTTGCCAAACTTGTCACTGTTCGGTGCTTGATTGCCGTTGCCATCAGTCAGAACTGGTTTCTCCATCAGCTCGACGTCAACAATGCGTTTTTACACGGCAATCTTCAGGAAGAGGTTTACATGAGAGTTCCTCAAGGGTTTGCTCGCCCTGGTGATTCTCGTGTATGTCGGTTGCAGAAGTCTCTCTATGGTCTTCGTCAGGCATCAAGAAATTGGTACCAACGTTTCTCTCGTGCACTACTTGGGTTGCGGTTTGTTCAAAGCCGTGCGGATCACTCTCTATTCACCTATCGGTCTGGTTCTAGTTTTGTGGCTGCGCTTATATATGTCGACGACGTCATCCTCGCCGGCAATGATGAGCATTTTATGCAGCAGGTCAAGAATTTTCTTCATGCCGAGTTCACTATCAAGGATCTGGGTAACTTGAAGTATTTCCTGGGTATCGAAGTTGCTCGGTCTCGTCAGGGTGTTGTGCTGAACCAACGTAAGTATGTCTTGGACATACTCGCCGACTGTGGGCTCGAAGGAACTCGTCCCTGTGCAACCCCCATTGAGCAAAATCATCGCCTGGGTCGTGATCCTTCCTCCCTAGCTCCCGACCCCTCGAGTTTTCGGCGTCTTGTTGGGCGGTTACTTTATCTTACGGTCACTCGTCCCGACATCCAGTACGCAGTCAATATTCTGAGTCAGGCAGTTCATGCACCTACTCAGGCTCACGTTGATGCTTCTGTACGTATTCTGCGCTACCTCAAGCATTCTCCTGGTCGTGGTCTCTTCTTCCCAGCTCAGAATCCTCTTCGTCTCGAGGCTTACTGTGACGCGGATTGGGGTGGTTGCCCTACCACTCGCCGCTCCACTACTGGTTACTTTATCAGTCTTGGCGGTGCTCCCATTTCCTGGCGCACTAAGAAACAGTCAGTTGTTGCCCGGTCATCTGCTGAGGCCGAGTATAGAGCCATGGCTACTACTGTCAGTGAGATAGTCTGGCTCCGTTGGTTGCTCTCCGAGCTTGGTCATCCTTCCACGATTGCCACTCCTCTACATTGTGACAATCAAGCCGCTTTGCACATCTCTGCCAACCCGGTGTTTCATGAGCGTACAAAACACGTCGAGATGGATTGCTATTTCGTTCGCGAACGTGTTCTTTCTGCCGATATTGCTCCCTGCAAGATCGCCACTCATGACCAGCCTGCAGATTTGTTCACCAAGGGCTTAAGCGTGGATCAGTACAGTCATCTTCTTTCCAAGCTCGGCATGTTGGACATTCATGCCTTCGCTTGAGGGGGAGTGTTGCGGTTACTTTGTCTTGAGTCCCAAGTAACCGAGTCTACCAAGTCTTTGTGTCCTACTATAGTTTTGTTTCCTAGTTGCTATGGTAAAGGAAAACCGAGAGTCATTACTCAAAGGGAACTTGTTCTTCCCTAAGTCACTATATAAGCTTAGCTTTGGGTCTCCTGTCAAAGCAAGCTAGGTCACACAGTCATATAATAAAAACTCAGTCCGTGAGCTCGTTCCGAGCTCACCGTGGATTAGTCCTGTTCACAACGAACAGGGATACCACGTAAATCTTGTCCCCGTGTTCTTCTTTTCCGCATCATACGTTTTCTACACTTTAAGATAAATATATACCAATACCAGTCATCAGGAAGTTCAAACTCTCCTACAAAACAGTTAAACTATACATAGTTTGAGGTGGCTGTCATGGTAATGTACGTAATCCAAAAGTCTAGTAGTTGTCCAAAATGTTTTGGTTTAGTAAATAGGCATGCCCATTTAGTTTTTGACCCATAATGTTTTGGTTTGTTGTGCACATGAAAATAAAATAGCGATTCACGAAAGTTTGGTTTGATTAGTTGCATGGAAGTATAAATAATTATGTATATTAGGTGTATCATTAATTGGTTAATTGGTTTCATTGGTTAGCAGTGTTGAAACCAAACCAAACCACATAAACCAAATAAGCAAAATTGTTTAGCCAAACCAAACCAATTATCTAAATTAACCAAACCGAATTAACCGATTGCTACCGGTTAATATGGTTACCATGGTCCATAGTAACCAATCCGTTTGAACACCCCTAATGATAAATTACGTTTGTTAAGGCTAAAGTAATTTTCATCCAACCATTATCGCAATCAATAACTTAAAATCATGGTGACGCTTGATCTAAACACAAAGTCAGACCAATATCCCTAATAAGTGGTGTTGTTCAGCAATAGAATCCGAGGATACTTTAATTACTTGTAGGAAAATGGAATTTTTCTTTGTGTAATCCAGAAATTCCCTACAATTATGTTGGCCTCCTTGGGATGTTCATCCCCTTGGGAGCTTGCTGCAATTCTGTTGTAAAAGGGTACACTGGTTCCCTTTTATTCCCACAAAGTTCCTAACTACAGCCTACAGGTCTATGAAGTGACAGACACACAGGACCTGCAAATGATGGCATCATGGACAAAACTCAGCTGCACTAAGCAAATGCTGCACTAATAAGTTCAACATTCAATGAAACTCCAAAAATGCTTCCCCTGGAACAGACTCTTCAACCCCGAAAGAAACTTCTCTCACAAGTAAACAGAGAGACCAGATAATCAGCTTTTAAGGAACTCAAATCGCAATCAATAGTTATTTTATTAACCTTCTATAGACAAAGATGAAAAGAGAATGCACAATGTATTTACATGTCATAAGCTTCCGACCACATCAAGGTGCACAAAAACTCATTTGCACCTGTTTTTTGAAGCCGGCAATGAGCATAACATGTTTCATCAGCTCTATATGTTCTAGTAGATAACTCAAAGCAGAACAAAAATTCCACCACACCTGATAGCAAGAAACAGAGACAACAAACAAACAAACAAACAACAAGAGAAAAAGCATTGATCCGAGTTTCTATTATGCTCGACAGTGACGAGAAAAGAGAGGCATTCATGGCTTCAGAACCCTCTCAATTGCGGCTGCATAGAATTCCTTGGGCATAGTACCAACCACGGTCTCTTGCTTTTCTCCATTCTTGAAAAGCAGAACTACAGGCACAGCCTTAATCTCGTATTCCTCAGCAATTTGGGAATCATTATCTGCATTGAGCACAAAGCACTGAATTCTTCCTTCATACTCCCCAGCAAGCTCATCAATTACTCGGTGGACCATCTTACAGGGGCCACACCAACTTGCATGGAACTCAACTAGGACAGGGGTATCACTTTTCAGAATTGACTTCTCCCAAGAGTCCTTGGTAACAACTGCTGCTGCTGAACATAGCGAAAAACATAGTGGTTAAAGAAGCCTGTCTTATTACTAGACTCTAGATGTTTACTGAAATCTGTGTAGGACAACTTGATCTAAACCAACCATAAAGCAAGCAACAGAAAACAACACTTAATCAACTCCCCAAGATTCTTCTCAGGAAACTCTTATCTAAGGAAGATACCATCTGCTTGAGCTGTTGGATCATCTAATACCATCCGGGCGATACAGTGATACAGATCCCTCAAGGGTACAAGCATGTGCCAAATGTTCCCAGCAGGCCAGTAACTACGTATTCAGACTCATCATTGAATTGCATGTAGTCACCATCCATCGCTTCAGTGGGTTGCTCAACTAAAGCATGAAGAGAAGCAATTATATACCACCAAGGCAAAGATGCTATGGAGGGGGTGCTCCCCATAAGCACATTCTAACCATTCAGTACTCTCAACTTCATACACGAAATGAAAATTAATCATTCTCCAATCTGAGACAGAATGCAGGAGCACTCTGCACTTAGTCTCCAACAGCATATTAGCCTAATATGGTTGTAGAAACAGATAATGCAAGTAAGAAGACTATCATCATATTTGGAGAGAGACAGACTAATGAATTAAGGTTACAGGAAGATACAAGAGATGTGTTCCCTTACTGCTCTAATCAGAATCAAAAGAAAAGCAGGTACAGATAACTAAAGATAACATTGTTGTTCCCTTTCTTTCAATTCAAAACTCAGCCATTGAATTGCTTTCTGCCAATCTCTGATTCAATGTTCTAACGATAATGTGCAAAAGCTCTATTGGCCTCCGCCATTCTATGGGTCTCCTCTCTCTTCCTTACAGCATCACCACTTCCTTTGGCAGCATCGATTAACTCATTACTTAGTTTGAACACCATATCCCGACCTTGCCTCTTTCTAGCTGCCACCAGCAGCCAACGGATCGCAAGTGCTTTGCCCTGAGTCGTGTCTACTTCAACAGGAACCTGTTGAGTTGCACCCCCAACACGCCTAGATTTCACAGCTACATCAGGAGTAACTCCTTGCACTGCTTCCCTCAACACTGCCAATGGATTTTGTCCCGTCTTTTCCTGAACCCTCCCCAAGGCTCGGTACATAATGAAATAGGCCAGTGACTTTTTCCCACTTTTCAGGACTCGGTTAACGAACATGCTAACTAATCGATTACGGTAAACTGGGTCGGGTTTTGCCGTTTTCTCTTTCTTGCCACCTTAACAATTGACAAATTCCATCAGAGAAGCAAGCGCAAAATTCAAACAACATCTTCACTACTCCGCCGGGAAGGTTCCCACCAATGAAATCAGAAATGCTCAAGAAACAGAAACTGATTTTGGTGCAAACCCTAAGCATGAATTGATTGACAACGGTGGACCGCAATCAAAATTGAAATGTATCAGATGTGAAAAAGAAAGTGCCGGAATGGGAAACGCTTCAAGGGGGTTTTTTTTTTTTGTAATTAAGATGAAGAATTTCTACCTTTGGATCCGCGCATGCAAACGACCTGGAGGGGAGAAGACGACGGGGAGCTGGTTAAACGGAGACCTAATCCTCTGACTTCGGCGGAGAAGTTGAAACCGAAGGAGATTGCCGAGTTGGAACTGAGCTCCGCCGGTTGACGGAGTGGGGCAGAACCAGAGAGAGGAAGAGGGCGGAAGCACGCTGAAGTAGAAGCCGCCATTTTCAGAGCGCCGGAAAAGTTTTCTCGGTGTGAAAATGGAGAAGACGAAGTAGCGAATCTGGAAGTAGGAGAAGATCAGATAAGGAGAGGAAAAAGAGCTGTCAAATTAAATAGTAAAAATATCACACCCGGTGGGACTCGAACCCACAATCGTTTGATTAGAAGTCAAACGCCTTATCCATTAGGCCACGGGTGCTTGTTGTCATAGAAAGGATGCCTATTATATAATTTTTACTGGTGGAATGTTCAAGTAGTATTCTAAATAGTAGTTTGACAATTCAGCTCCAACCAAACTCATATACTTTATTGACAAGTCACTGAGATGCCATCTAGTTGGGCTGATGTACAAAAGAGGGAAATATCCACAAAGCCATCCAACACAATGATCCTTCAACAAGGCTTTTCAATGGAACAGCCTAATGCCAATTCCAGTTCTCTATTGGTCATAGCTTTAACCTGACAAAGTTGCAAAGTTCAATCACAACTACATCCTGAACACACCAAACTTGGTGTCTTCAGAGGGGCGGTTCATGGAAGCAGATATACAGAGCCCTATAACTTTTCTCGTGTCTGCTGGATCGATGATGCCGTCGTCCCAAAGCCTCGCAGTTGAGTAGTATGAACTACCTTCCCTCTCGTATGCTTCAACCACTTTGCCCTTGAAGCTTTCCTCCTCTTCTGTGGTCCACTGCAGAATCAAAATGTACTCGTCATGATTCGGCGCTAATCCAGAAACTCATTACACAACGCCAGATGGAAGAATGAATGATTTTTACCTGGATCCCCTGCTTCTTCTTGTTTGCCTTTTCAATCTGAGATAGCACACCGGCAGCCTAAAAGCAAATTTGGGAAGAAAGATGTCATGAGAGAAGACATTAACTTATCAAATCAAGTTGCCGGCTTTCAGTTCAATGAAGAAGATTAAGTACCTGCGCTCCGCCCATGACTGATATTTTAGCATTTGGCCAGAGGAACAAGAAGTCAGGGCTATATGCACGACCACACATTGCATAGTTTCCAGCGCCGAAGCTTCCACCAACCATGATGGTTACCTTAGGCACCTACACCACGGAAATAGTTATAGGAATCAGGTTTGTTCATGTCCTATTGTACCATGTCCCAAACATCTGCAAAACTTTGTTTTCAGTTACTGAAATCATACTCCATTGAAATGTTACTTTGAGGTGGTAATCAAACATCTAACGGGAGAAGTGCCACCAACCTTTGCACAAGAAACAGCCATTACCATCTTCGCACCCGATTTTGCTATACCATTTGCCTCAGATCTAGAGCCAACCTACAAAACCAGCAAACCACCGTGACTCGAAGGCTATCAAAATTCATAACCAAGAAAGAAGCACAAAGCTGACCAACTTACCATGAATCCAGTGATGTTCTGCAGGAAAACTAGAGGAATGTTACGCTGACTACAGAGTTCAATGAAATGTGCCCCCTTCAGAGCAGATTCATTAAACAATATTCCATTATTTCCAATTATTCCCACAGGTTGACCGAAAATTTTAGCAAAGCCTGTCACGAGGGTCTGCAGAGATGCAACTGAGATTCCGTTACTCAAAAGGTCAAAGCCTAAGCCAAAGAAAGGTATCGAAGGGTTCTCAGAGATGCTCACCGTTCCATATAATTTCTTGAACTCATCAAACTCACTTCCATCAACAATTCGGGCAATAACTGATCGAATATCAAACGCCTGCTTGTGGTCTGCCGGGGCAATAGTTCTCAGCTCCTTTATGTCGTATAATGGCTCTTTGTACTCGAGACTTAAGTTATGTCCTTCATTGGCCACTCGGCATTTTCCAGCCATGTGCAAGTTCTTGATAATGTTCCTTCCAAGCGCTAGTGCATGCAATTCATCTACAATTGAAGGGATAACAATACATACACATGATCAGTTCTGGATTTTCATTGTTTATATGCCCTTGTTCATAAGTTTCTTCCTACCTTGAGCAAAGTAGTCTGAAACTCCTGATGTTTTGCAATGCAAGGAAGCACCTCCTAAAGCTTCAGCAGATACTTCCTCTCCTGTAGCAGCCTAACATGAATTTTCCCCTCAATTTAACTTCACCAAAAAAGTATAGAAAAACGGATCACCATTATGCATGCAGCAACTTCAATCTAGAAAACAAGAACTTGCAACTGACCTTGACAAGTGGTGGTCCAGCCAAAAATATGGTTGCATTACCCTTGACCATCACACTTTCATCAGCCATAGCAGGAATGTAGGCACCACCAGCTGTACAAGAACCTAATACCAGTGCAATCTGTGGGATGCCTTCAGCAGACATTACAGCTTGGTTGAAGAAAATTCTTCCGAAATTATCCTTGTCGGGGAACACCTCAGCCTGCTTCGGAAGAAAAGCACCACCACTGTCGACGAGATAGATGCAAGGCAGTCTGCATCGAGCAGCAATCTCTTGCGCCCTAAGATGTTTCTTTACTGTGATGGGATAGTAAGTTCCCCCCTTGACAGTAGGATCATTTGCTACAAACATGCAAAGTCGGCCATGAACAGGACCTATTCCAGTAACTACTCCGCCAGAAGGCAGGGATTCATCATATAATTCATGGCCTGCAAGCTTTAAGCCAATGAACATAAAGTAAGCAGCAGCGAAATGAGACATTTCAGGTGACCACATATCAGTATTGCCTGAAACTTACCATAGCCTTATATATCATATGATCCAAAGCATTACAGCTAATTTATTTCACAAAAGCATAAGGACTTGAAAGGTCCAAGTACCTGAGAAAGCTCAAGAAATGAAGAACCTGGATCAAGCAGCCGGTCAATTCTTTCTCTTGGTAGCAGCTTATTCCTGCTTCTGTTCCTCTTGACCGCCGATTCTCCTCCTCCAGCCAAAACCTCCAAAAATAAGCAAGACGCAGGGGGGAAAAGGAACCCAACCCACATCAGAATTCTCAGTTTCTCACACTACGAACATCAGAAAATTTCCCATTTCTTACTTGGTTTATGTTGGACTGGAGCTGGGAAATGAGAGACTCCATAGCCATAGAGTTGCGGGAAAACGACTCGGAAGTCCTGTCCACCCCATCGGGAAGAACCCCAAAGCTGAAACCTCTTGTGCAGCGCAGAAGATGAAACGAGGTCGACTTGGATGCTAAAGAAGCCGAAGCAATTCTTCTCGCCACAATCCTCAACATATCTCCCCTTCTCAACGTCTCCCTCGTTTTTCCTCCAAAAGTAGGGATCTTGCAGTTTCTATCCACTCTGTACTTCGTTCTTCTTCTTCCCTTCCCGACGGTATTTATTATATATGTATGTGCCTTTTCTCCGCTTCTTCTCTCTTTCTTCAATCTTCAGTGATCGGATGCAGTAGGTGTCATCCTCATCTAATCCATTGCTGCGTTGGCCTGCTCTATTGCCTAATAATCATGTGTGTTTTTCTTATATTTTTTCGATTCTCTCTCTACAGCAATGATGTACTAATTAGCAGAAAGTAAATCCATTTTCATTTTTTTTAAGTTTCGGATAAGGGGGACGAGCCTAGAGTTAAGTGAAGAGTCCAAAAATGGTCGCGCGCCTTTCCTGTTAAGCGGCACAGGGAAGCAAATCAATTCGAGAGGCATCAATGGAGTCGTTCTTCTGTACGCTATGTCCTGCAAAGCTTCCTTCTCTCAAGTTCTATTATTCAATGGCTGTCACTCCTCCTTCGTCTCTGACTTGCGCCTCCGTGATGGAATCTCCCTCACGGCGAAAATCAGCCGCTCCGAGAAACCGCTCTTCGAAACCCATCTCCCAGACGGCTTCCCCTCAAATACCCACGACTCCAACCACCAGTAATTCCGACTCCACCGCTCCCATCTCCGCCGCGCCTCCCAAAAAGGTATCTCCTTTTTACTTCCAGTTGGATGAATGGAACAGTATTAGGTCTGATTGAGTGGGCATTGAAGAAGTCTGACCTTTTCTTGCAGGTCCTTGTTCCCATTGGATTTGGCACTGAAGAAATGGAAGCTGTGATATTAATCGATGTTCTGCGGCGAGCTGGTGCAAAGGTCACTGTTGCCTCAGTGGAACCGCAGCTAGAGATTGAGGCTGCAGCTGGGAGTAAGCTAGTTGCTGACATCTCCATTTCTGATTGTTCTGATGAAACCTTTGATCTCGTGGCTTTGCCGGTTAGTCGTTTCGTTTTACTTCCAAATGATGAACCTAGTTGTTTGCTTTCAAATTTTGTTCAACTTGTTAATTTAAGAACCACAGGCATAGTTTGAAGTACTCTAGAACTATAATTGCAGCATATGGGTTGTTTTAATGTAGTCTATGATTAGGGAGGAATGCCGGGCTCGGCTAGGTTGAGAGATTGTGAAGTTCTGCGCCGAATTACGAGCAAGCAGGCTGATGAAGAGAGGTTATATGGTGCCATATGTGCAGCTCCAGCTGTCACCCTTCTTCCATGGGGCCTCCTAAGAAAGAAGCAGGTTGTTTACTTTGGTTACGGGATTGTCAGTAATATATGGATGCAGGACGAACTGTGCTTGTATTTGTATGTTTCAATTGCTAATTGTTCTGTAGCGTGTAATGCAAGATCACATGCCACCCAGCATTCATGGACAAGCTCCCCACCTTCTGGGCTGTTAAATCAAATCTTCAAGTTTCAGGAAAAGTTACTACGAGCCGCGGGCCTGGAACATCTTTTCAGTTTGCTTTATCCTTTGTGGATCAGCTGTTTGGGGAGACAGTTGCCAAGGAAGTTGCAGAGATGTTGGTAAGGACTAAGGATTGCGCATTCCATAATTTGTTTCCTGAAGTTTATCAAGAAACAGTCTAGCAAATTGAATGAAGTTTGTATTGCTTTTGTGATAGTTGATGGATACAGGTGATGATAACTGCAGAAAGGAAGAGTTGAACCCCACAGAGTGGTCTTTTGAACATAATCCTCGTGTAATTGCTTGCTTCCCCCTTCTGTCTATCTCTCTCGTTTTTCTTTAAATAGATCCCGATTTGCTTACATCCTTAGATTGTCGTTAGTCGTTTCAACTTACAACAATCACTCGACAGGTGCTAATTCCAATTGCTAATGGCTCGGACGAAATTGAAGTAGTTACCATTGTCGACATTCTGAGGCGAGCCAATGTGGAAGTTGTGGTTGCTTCAGTTGGAAAATCTGTGCAAATTTTGGGATCACAAGGTACAAAAATGGTTGCAGACAAGTTCATTGACGAGGCTGCTGAATTTGCCTATGATCTTATAGTTCTCCCGGTAAGCATCCTGCAATGTTTTCAGCCTGCACTAGAACCAAGGACTAGACTGGACACATTTTCAAAAGTTTCCGTTCAACAAAATTTCAGGGTGGAAGTGCTGGATCAGATCGCCTTCAGAAATCAAAAGTTCTAAAGAAGCTACTGCAGGAACAAGATGCAGGTGGAAGAATATACGGAGCAGTTTGCTCCTCCCTATTCGTTCTGCAGAAGCACTGTCTGCTAAAGGATAAGAGAATCGCTGCACATCCTAGCATTGGTAACAAGTTAACGAACGAAATGGTGAATAGCGCAAAGGTAGTCATTGATGGAAGGTTGATTACCTGCAAGGGACTTGCTACTGTAATGGATTTCGCACTAGCTATAGTGACGAAGTTGTTTGGTCATGCTAGAGCAAGAAGTGTTGCTGAAGGCCTTGTGTTGGAGTATATTAGAACTTGAGAGAGAGAGAGAGAGAGAGAGAGAGAGAGATTATGCAATTCATGTTGAAGTTCAAACCATAATCTCATATACCATATGCGAACAATCCTCCTAATGAAAGGAAACACAAACATGTCTACAAGTCCACAACAATTAACAAAGAATATACAGACAACAGTGGACCGTAGCTTGCATTGTTTTCTTAACTTAATAATATGAATTCCCTGTTCCTAAACTCCACTAGGACAGCATTACTACCAATTTTTGTAATTTACAGGGCAAAACTCACATCATCTGCTCCCTACAAACGACGATAGCTAATCTACCCTATATAGGTTCAGTAAGTATTCATATAAGCATGCCCAGAGGTTGAAACGTCTCTCAAACGCGTACTTCTTCGGAAATGTGTTGATGTTGATCCTACCAAGGCCCTGTCAGTGTTCTCCTCAAGCATAACCTTTTTCCTCCCCATGGATGATTCATTTTCTCCAAGAACTGCAATCACAGGAAAAGGGTAAATCGACATTTGACATATAAGAAGCCATCTATAATATTGATATCCAAAGGAAAGGGATAAGAAGAGCTTCTCACCTGATTCTTCTGCATCTGCATTATTTCAGCCTGCACAAAACCAGCCAGAGTTTTTATAAGATAATGTGTAAGGAAGGCTGAATCTTCCAACATCTCACAGTCGCAATTTTAGAATGAACAGTACCTGTTTTCTTTCCAGCTCTTCATTCAGCTCTTTCAGTTTCGCCACCTCAGCTTCCAGTTCCAGCGTATATGCCTATTGAAAGACAATGCAACATCAACCTTATGTACATAGTACACACTACAGGCTAGGGCATTCTACCAAAATATTAAGAATCTACAGGTCACTATAACTATGCCCACATTGGGAAACACAGATTGTCACAAATGAAGCACACACAAATCTGAAAGATAGTCACCTGCTTACGAGCTCGAGATCGTGCAGCAGACTCCCTGTTCTTAATCATCCTTCTCTGCCTTCTCTCAACAACCTTCTCCAAAGCCGTATTAGGTTTTCTGCCCCGAGTAAACACATAAGGAACCGGCGACACAGATGAGGTATCAGCATCACTCCTCGAAAGCACATCAGGCGATATCTGGCTAGCAGGAGAAGCTGTTGCAACTGTAACGCCTCCAGTTCCTAAACCACCCACACGACCTAAACTGTTATTGTTTATACCCGTTGAGGAGTTTTCCAAGCCAACAGCACCAGAGCTCCTCATCCCTTGGCTTGGTAGCTGTGCACCACCATTCACCATGTGCATCGGAGATGCAAATGCCACTGTAGCTGGCTTGGGAAAGAGTGGCGGTGGCTGCTGGTGCTGACTCCTAGGTTGATGATGCAACTGCTGAGATGGCTGCTGCTGCTGATGATGATGATGCAACTGCTGAGATGGCTGCTGATTATGATGATGCATAGAGGGTCTGATTCCTCCGACATTCATCCCCAAGCTCGAGGCTTGATTTGGTTGCTGTTGGAATCCAAGTGCCAAACTGCTACTGTTGTTATTATTCAGTTGACTTAGTTCGCCAAAGAATCCCACATTGTTATTCTCCCTTCCCATTTGCTTGTTGGTATCCTCTCTAACTACACCTGCTCTCAACAGGAACTCCTCCAGTGTCATCTCTCCCAGCGTTCGCTGCCTCTGAGGAGGATCAGGTGGAGCAATCTCCTTGGCTGCTACCGTGTTCTCTTTTATGAAATCTTTCCAAACTTCATCAACGGTTTTCTGACTTAAGGTCCTAGGCAAAGTTAAGGAGCCTTGTCTCTGTAGATTCCCGCCTGAAGCACCAGCTTCGATGCCAGTTTCCTCAGCCGAGCATATGTTTTTGAGTAACTCGTCCATGTTCATTGAGCCAAAATCTTTCCCTAGGCTTCCCCCCCAGGTGTTCTGAAGCTCATCGAAGGTGAGAGAGTATACTGAAGACTGGCGGACCAATGGAGTGCTGACAACTGGTGGTAACTTGGTTCCTGCACCGTCTCCAAATGAAGTGTTGCCGAAGTTACTGAAGTTGAAATGTGATCCCATTTCCTGAAAAGGCCTTCAAGTTTGTCCAATGAAGTGCATATAATGGAATCTCCCAGTCCTTTTTAGCTAGTGTCCCTTCAAATTGCAATAACTACAATAGAAGCATAAGGTAAAGCAAAGCGTCAACAATAGTTGCATATGTAGTAATACACAGTGTAAGTATGAAATTGAACCTGTAAACAGTCCCCTAAACTGAAAAGCTTGTCAAATGTGAACTACTGATTGAGCCAACAATCTACAACATGATGAAGCAAAATCCAAGCTTTTCTACAGATCCCTAACATGCAGAAACATCTCACAAGTTACACAGGCAAGCCTCATCTAGCAAGAACCACCGCAGACAGAAAAAAAAAAAAAAAAAAACAAGGGGAAAAATTGACAAATCAGAAAGCCAGAAGGAAGGAAAATATCTAGTCCTACCACTACCCGGTAACCTAGTTTCAGCAGTAGATCAAAGGACATAGCTTGTCTTGTTGTTTGAACTTGTCCAAGCATACAGTCGAAAAGATATAGCAGAAATTGGATTAGAAAACCAAAAGTTACTTCCTTTTACCATGATAAACCTTCCAAATTTCAGATCCGGAAGAAAGAGGGAAGAAAAGCAGAATCCAGATGAACTTATCCAACACCAACCCATTTCCGGGTAACACAGAAAACGCCCAAAATCTCAAACAGCCGCTCAAAATAACGAGCTAACAGCTGAGAATTCATGCCAGAATCCATCTGGAGACCCATTTTCCCCAACTGGATTCCAATATGCACCAATCGAAAAAAAAATTGGAACCTTTTCTTCACAACCCAAAAAGGGTAAACGGAAAGTTTAGACTCGTATCAAATCCTAAACCCCCAATCTCCCTAAAAATCGGGCAAATCAACCTCTCTGGAAGATCAGAAGCAGCAGGCAAGAACACCACGTAACCCAGTCAAAAAAAATAACCTCAGGATCGCAATTATTCCTATTAAAAAACTAATACAATAAGATGTAAATCACTGAAATATCCATTTACTAAAATAAAATATTAAACACGGAGAGGAGGCAAGCCGCAAGAGGGGATAAACATGGAGCGAAATGGAGGAAAAACCCAAAGGGAAAAGTAGGGAGAAAAAAAAACTGCTTACCTTGGCTTTTTATTTTCCTGGAAATTAGGAGGTGGAGATAATAATAAATACGGGGAAAATTAATTGGGATATTTTGGTGGCGTGGAAATCGGAATGGAGACGGGGAGAAGGGTTAGAGAGAGAAGTTAGAGAGAGAGGGGTGTCGTTTCTGTTTGCTAACCAGAGCTCTGCTCGCCGGCGGAAGGAAGGAGGAGGCGACAAGTGGGCAATTTGCCGTCTTCTCGACACGAGTCGTCCTTTTAAAGCTCCTCCTCCCTCGTCCCTCTCGATTTGGTAATTGTTTGTTTCCTAATTTTATTTTGATTTTTCTGTAGTTTTCTCCTTTGGGTATTATTAATTATTTTATTTGGTGTGTTCGAGAAATTTGAGCCACGGGGATCCCGTTACGTGGGCCAATCGGAGAAGAGGTTGGAAACTGTGATGTGATTGTGCAGCCAATGAGAGGGAGCAAAGTGGGCGCGATCCCGGCCGTTCGTTTTCGGTCTCCGACCTCAATTACTTAGAGCCAGAGGGGAGGATTTTCCCCCTAGTTTTGAGTATATTAACAGTGGCAAATACTGTAGGGTTGTTCAAACGGTGCGGTTACATTGGTAATCGTTTTAAACAGTACTATTTGGATCAGGGGCGGATCCAGGGAGATTTAGGGATGTCCCCGGACATCCCTAAATTTTGGGAAAATGATTATCCAACTCTCGGTAGTAATTTACGTATGGACAAAAAAAAATACAATTGATAGTGAGGGACACCCCTTAAATTTGAAAAAATGATTATCCTACTGTCATTTGTGTATAGGAATATAAGTGGTAGGTTGGATAATTCAAATCAAGAACACTATTATTATTAATAAACTTAATTTCTGTTGAGCTAAACTCATTTGTTGTTCGATTTTGAACAATGTGTAACAGTGAAATGGCATTCCCTATCTCTAATTATTTTAAAAACCTAATAAATAAACTAATTTCAAACTACCCTTAATTTGTATTGATTTTATGATTGTACGACAAGTGTTGAAAGAGTCTTTCAGCTTTGGGTTACATCAAGAACAAGTTTACAAATCAAATATGCGATAAGTTCATGAATGATTGTCTAGCTAGCAGTGTATATAGAGACAATTTTTTTAACACTATAGACACCAAGTGTATTCTACAATTATTTCCGAATATGAAAACATATCATGGACTTTTTTAACCTATACGAGTAAGGTATTTTCATATTTACAATTTTATTTTTATCAATTATTTTTATTTTAATTTAATTTATTTTTTAAAAGAGGACACCCCTATAAAAAATTTCTGGGTCCGCCACTGCTTTGGATAATTTGGTTTGGTTAATTTAGATAATTAGTTTTGTTTGGTTAAAGTTTTTAGCTTGTTTGGTTTAGGTGGTTTGGTTTGGTTTCAGACACTCCTAACCAGTCAAACCAAATTAACCAGTTAAGTAATTAGTCATATGTCTAATATATATTACACATACTTAATACTTTGCATAACCACTCAAGAGTTAAATGTTCATCCCTTTTAGACTCATAAAATATAAAGCTCAATATTGCTCCTATAGTGTATATTTGTATATGTAAAGTGTACACCACAGCATATGGACGCCTAATTTAGATAAATCTCATACATTATGATGGATGAAAACTTGAAAGGAAGGTGCTTTCCAGCCTATGATAATTGCTAAGAGAAGTCAAGTCACACAAACACAACAATTCATTAACCCATACCATTGTCATAAAATTTTGTTAGGTGAATACTTCTATACTAATCGTAAGATAATTGTCTTAGTTGCATGATGTTATGGGTCAACTATAACTATGTGTTGATTGTTATGTTTTATTCATTATATAAATTGCGAATTGATGCATTAACCGGAAAATGTTCTCACTTAATGATATAATGTGATTTTATATTGGTTAATCTGGTTAACCAATTAACTAAATCGATTAAACTTTAGTTTGGTTAATTTGGTTGTTGTATTAGTTTGGACGGTTTGGTTATGATATTGTATTCCATGGTTAATGGAATTTAGCCTTATTTGGTTTGGTAATAACCATGGTAACCATTTGAACACCCCTAGCAAATAGGGGTGGAAATCGGTACAGTACGGTATCGGTATCCCAATACCAAATACCAAAATCCCGAATACTGAATTACACTTTAAAGTCAATCCCAATCTCAATCCCTAAATAATTATGGTATCCCAATCTCTAAATATTTCGGTATTCCAGTCGGTACTTCGGTATCTCTATCGGTACTATTATCAAATACGCAATTAATTACATTTGCAATTAATAATTAAATATATAAATTAGATTTTATTGTTTATTTAGGGGAAAAGGACTAAGCAAAGAGTTTTGAATTAAGATATTATTAAGGAGAATGGAGGAGAGGAGACATCTCAAGTTTTTGTCATTAGTAAACTTTAATTTGATGAATTGGACGTTGAGAGACGACTATTAATAGCGATGGAATGATCTGTGTATAATTAAATGACACTCTTGGTGGTTGAGGGTCATGTAGTAGTGAATGAGAGAGTCTAGTTGAGAGGATAAAATATACACTAGCTTATATTTCGGTATTGATCGATATTTCGGTATATACCGATCTCAATCCCGTAATGCCTAATACCGAATAACAATTGAAATTCAATCACAATCCCAATTCCAAAAAATAATACGTGTATTCGGTAATACCAAATGTAGACAAATTCGATACGGTATTCGGTATATCCCAAATACCGGTACCAAACTTCCAGCCCTAGTGGCAAATACCCCCAATGTGTAGGGAAAAGTACCTGCATTGCATACAGCTTGGAGTATATTAACAGTGGAAAGATATGCGATCTCTGCGTTTCAAGAAATTCAAGACATAGAGGACAAGTCAAGTCCACTTCAGGTTGCCACTTCTTGATTTTGTCAAGTGTAGTAACTCTTCCTAGACGTAACCAGACAGGCTATAAGGGAATTCTTTGGAATATGAAACTGCCCCCTAAGAATCTTGTGGCCCGTAAAATAATCTCTACACGGTCGAATGTGCTCCCGTATATAGCTTTGACTTTGTATCTAGTCATTAATACACCTTTCCACTAATCCCCTTGTTAAGTGACCTGGAATTGAAATGGCTACCATAGGTATTTCTCTCGTCTCGTTATATCTCCAATAACTAATTATGCTAGTTAGTGATTGCTCGATTGTTTATATTCTTTTCTTGTGTAGTTAAGCTTTGAACAATCTTGACATCATTGAATTGCGGAAGATGGCGGTGAGGAGTCTATTAACGTTTTCAAAATAGAGGATTTATTTATCTATGCAAAAGTAGCAAAAAACTATCCACATGACACTGTAAAAATTTCGTGCAACAACTTAAGTTAATAGCACTTTCAAGTCTTTAATCGCCATACGATGCAAACAAATGTTCACATAGAACATAAAGGTCTTCAATCTTGATTGTTCTGTATTTGTTTGGTACAACCTTATTAAATCGTTACTTTCATTTATGATTCGTTCTATCTATAGACAATATCATTTATTGCTCGAAAATTTTATTGTTTTATTCTCTTTTAATCTAGGGTCATTTTTGAAAGGGTTATAAGCTTATAATCACTGGACAATTAGAATGAATAGATTATGATGCTTGCTAGGTTTTAAAATGTTGTCATTTGGATGAGTGATATGAAGAACGAATCATAGATAGTAAGTCGTTTCATCATCAATTGGGAAATAATTTCTACAATTGAGAATTCATGCCAATTAATGAGTGGTTTTTTTTCCTTCGTGACAATATTATGATGATACTTGTGTCCATAAATAATCCATGCACAAAGAATGAAGTTGATCCGGATTGTGAAAGAATACCATTTCTTCCCCGTCGCGAGAGTGAATAATGCTCCTATAGGCAAAGCATGAGAGATGTTAGTTTGGGTCAATTAGACAATGTTTGGGTATTGGTTTGTGCCTATCATGGATTAGAACTTAGAAGTCTCGTGGGGGTAAAGCCATTTAACAAGATTTCTTTAGGTTTGTAGTCCTTGATGAACTTTGGTCTACCCTAGTCCCTAGCTGACACTAAAGTGCCACTCCCACTAAATAAAAACTAATTGTTTATGATCGTTAAGTTGTTATAAATTTTGAATAAGCTGTTCCATTTTGAGATTAGTTTCGATTATTATATTTTTTTTTCCAGTATCTATATACGACATCTGTTGCAGTTAGTCATCTAGAGTGGAAATAATATTGCGTTGAAAAAAGGTAACTTACTTAATTAATCATTTTTTAATTATTGTATAACGAAGAAATATCCTTTTAGAAGGTAACTTGTGATTTTTAACAAGTATAAGTTTGTTGCCGCCACCTTTTCGTTCGAGAGTTCATCTTCTTCTTCTCGTGTTCATGCTCTGTTTCATAATCACATAAAATCTGTAAATCGCTGCTTTAGATTTTAATTAACGGGACTTCGAGAGATGGTTTGCCTAGTCCTACCAGCATTTGCAGTGAGAAATAAATGAACACTCTAAAAACAAAATGATTGATTCACATACTCAATTTTGTTTATTTCCTACCCAATTCCTCACATCTCCACCAGAAAACTTAACCAATTCAAACTTCTTCCAAGTGCCTTAGATAAACCCCTCATGTAATCATGTTGTCAACTAGAAAGGGTTTTATGTTTGTTAGTTGCATGTAATGTTAGAGAGAAGAACACAACTTTTTAAGGCCATGAGTAACTGGGATAAGAAAGGAGTGACATCCACGTCAAAATATCAAGAATCGGGGAGAAAAGGGAAGAATGGGAACATGATAAGCTTCTTTAAAATCTACCATTGATAGTGAGTGGGGTTCCACGAGCCACGTGGCCCTTCATGATTCCCTCACCCACCCCAACTCCATCTAGGTTTATTGCTACTTACTACACAAAGGGATATATCTACTCAATGGAATGGCCATCCAATTTTTCCCATCACTCTCTAATTGTTCGCTGCAGGCAATGTGGTCAAAATCGCGCTTTAAAACTTAAAAAATTACGATTTTACGTTTCTAGGTCACTAAAACGCTTATACACAAAATCTCAGTTTTTTTATAACTTATGTAATTAAAAACTCCGCTTTAAAACTTAAAAACATAAGATTTTGCGCTTCTAAATCACCAAAACGCTTCTATGTAGAAAATCGCTTTTGACTACATTGACTGCAAGATTGTTACACTTT